ATACTGCTTTCCAATCGGGAAAACTTTTTTGTAGAAGATGAGAACTGTGAGGATACGCTATGGAGAGTGGACTCTCCAGGATTAATGTAATTAACAATGTCACTGGTTTCACGATTGTCATAAGCCAGGTTAGGTTTGTGCTACCTTCAGAAGGGGCGGTTTCCCTGTCACTTTACTGTTCCTCACGGTAATGAGTAGGGTCAACCTGTCTACCCCACTGACAACTAATCCTTCTTCCCCTTCCCTGCAAATCAATTAATCCTTTCTTACATTCATCAGCCCGATCAGCAGCCTGATTCAGTTCACTGCTCAGCCCTGCAGGCAGGGAGAAGGGAGTGGGAGAATCCCCCCGTCCTTTGGCTGAAGCCAGCTGTGAAGAGCACGCTGAGAATTGATGGAGGTGCTCCTGAGATGCAAGGGATGGCACGGGGCTGCTGAGCGGTGCAGTAAGTGGCTGCTGTCGGAGCAGATGGGCCAAGCCACGTGGCAGCTATGGCACATGAATCCAGGTGGCTTTGCAAATGAGAGACTGAAGTGCAGTGACTAACAAACAAATGGAATAAGCTTTCACATTAAAAGTAAGGCATAAGATACATGGAGTATATTGGATTTAATAGACTGGGTAAGGTAATAGCTGAAAAACAGAAAGCCTTTACAAACACAGTGAAAGACATGGAAGAATTTTCTTACCGAGACTTCTTCATGTGTGTCAAACGTCTCGTCTTCAGAAACACCAAAACTCCAAAATAGACAAAGATAATATGAGGAAGCACTTTGATTTTGACCTTCTGCATTAATTCCTGACCCAAACCCATCTATTCCAATCCAATGCCCCTAAACTATCCAGTGAGCTTTCAGGCTATAAATGAATCAAAATGAATCTGAGATCTTATTATGTGGAAATGTTGTCTCTGATATGATATCCCATTTTTCTTTTGAAATTGGCCCCTATTGCTTTAACATTACAAAGGCAGGTTATTAAGTGGGAGACAGAGGAAAATCCTTCTGGGTAGGATTGCTAATTGTCCAAGCTTTAAAGGTAACCCTGCTCGAACTTCAGTGCTTCTATACATTTCAGGCTTCTTTTGAAGGTGGCTGTCTTCTGAAGGAATGTATCGAGTAGGCTGCATTGTCGATTGCCATTTCTTAAAAAATGAGGTGCAAGTAAAGGTTTTCCTCTACAATCTTTTTTTTAAGCAAACATGACTTTAATCTTGGCATTCTCCCTTTGTGGCAGGAAATGAGCTCCACTGTGCTCCCTTTCGGTTTTGTGGTTTTGATACTCCTCTCAGGCACTTGTCTTGGACCAGAAAGTGAAGATGGGAACTCCACCAAAGTGTTAAATATCTAGCATAATGATTAAACATATCCCCTACCTGTCAGCTTCAGTAGTGTCTGATTATAAAGAATATTATTGTAAGTTATATTATTAATAATAATGAACACATATACAATTAATTTTAAGGTTCTGGAGACTTTTGCCCCTGTCCATCTCAGATTACTTCTTTCTCGGCATAACACAAAGGGTTAGTATGTTAGTATGGTGCCAGATTCAGCTCATATTTTGCAGAGAAGTAAATCCAGCATCACTTTATTGACACTGATAAAACAGATGGCAAAACCAAGCTAGACAGAACTGTAATTATATCTGTGATGTTAGAGGTGAAGGTACGTTATTAAAACATTTCCCTCTTCTCTTTGAATAATGTGTAGCTCTTGCAGAATGTAAGCATCATACTGACAATATCAAATGTTGCTCTAGCTTTTGGATGGGAAAAAGTATATGGTGCAAAAGGGAATATGTGCAGAAGAACTATAAGAGCTCCTAATTAGCCATTATAGGATTCCATTAATCTCTTCAATCGACTAAAAGAATTATAGTCATTGAAGTCTATTTGTCTTAAGATGGAAAGAAGGCTTAACCAAAGCCTTTGGACTGACGATTGTGCGATGAAAAGCGTATTCTGTGCATCTAGCTACATCTTTTGGTTTTCTTTGAGAAGGTCACGGCCATCTTCAGATAACGTCAGAGCAGATATCATTCAAGACTGCTGAGTATATTAGTACATATTTTACCGGAGGTCTGACAAGCCGCCCATGGCTAAGCATGCATATACCCCAGCTGAAGTAATTTGTGTTCCTGGGTGGGAGTTTGGAGTTGGAGGTCACGAATAGCAAAATACAGACCCAAATCACTTTAACGCTTTTCTGTTTCACTGGTTAGTGTAATAGCCTGTATCTTGCGTACAGCTGCTTCCTTGTGGCTATCAGCAGAGGGCAAGGTGGGCATACAGGGGGGAAGCAGCGGCGTCCTGCCCAGCTGCGGGCTGCCTGTCCCCTCTGGGCTGCGCGTGTCCCTCGAGGGGTGGCCTCTGCCTGGCTTCTGCGCAGAAGCTGCCAGGTCTTGCATGGTCAGCAGGACCGTGTTATCCCAGCAGTTTGAAAGCTGGAAATCGTAAGCGTTTTTTTGAGTTTCTAACATTTGTGGGTGTGATTTTAATCTTCCTAATAGGTAACAATTACATTTGCTCCAAGAAAGTTTTCCTGAGTTTATGGGCAGCTTCAGCGGCATAAGCTCCCTCTCACCCAGTGAGCTCATACGTCAACAGTATTTCCTATTTAATGTATTTAACGTTTAATTGTTGCCCATGTTATCAAATAGGATAAGTAACTGCATTGGGCTAAGGCTTCTGGAGGGAATCAGAATTGAAAATGCAGAAGAGGAGAAAGGGAGGAGAAACAATAAAGGACAGTGAACAACAGAGAGGTGAATTAGCAGTGGCTATAAAGGTGGAGACATACTGCCACTGTGCAGTGATGATGATAAAAAGAAAACTAACCATATTTTGCCATGGATCTCTGGTGCAGACCCATCCTTGAAATTGGTGGGAATTCAATGGACCAGAGAGCATGTTATCTCTAATGTATTTTTTGGCTCACAGATCACAATTAAAATTAAATTCTGCCTTCTGCAAAATTAAATTGGACACACTGGTCTGCTGCAATGAATCCTTGATCTCGGTTGGTCTCAGTTGAGCTAGACTACTCAAGAAAAAAACAAATGATAACTATGGAACTTTCCTTGTGAGAGTATATGAAATTGCTATCATAGCACAAGTTATTTTCAAGGAAATCTAGGATGTATGGGTTACTTTTCAGGAGAGGATAGATTGTTTTACAGGCTTTTGCTACTGACTGCTGTTCCTATAGATCATTCCATTCAAGTGTCTTGGCTGCAAAAGTATTAATACAAATGTTGTTATGAGATGATGATGTTCTCAATATTACATAGAATAAATGTTATCACTTAAATATTTTTGAAGTGCCAGCTTTTCTGCATGCTGCAGCTTTTTGCTAAGCTGAGCATACACTTGTCAAATGTTTTGAATTCTGTATTATTCAGTAAATGAGCATGTGGTTAATTGAAGTAGCATTACTATACTGGGAGGTGATCAGATTGCAAACGTATCTTTAACAATTGGCTCTTGTAAATAAAATAGAAGAGACCTGATTGAAATCTGAAAATGTCAATAGATGCAAAAAGCCACCTTAGAGCGTTACCTGTTAAAATAAGAGTAGAGAAGTAATGACATGGTCAATATTAACTGCCATCAGCTGGAAAGAAATCAGATTGTCAGGGATCTATAAAACTCTTGCCAAAGTAGAACCTCATTTACACATACAGATCTTCATACCCTTTGCTAAGAAAAGCATATGTGACAGCTTAGAGGTTTTAGCTGCCAAAGATCTTTCACTCTGAATACAGTAAATGTCACATCTATTTATTTATCGTTAAATTTTGCTAAGTATCTGTAGAAATATTTGGATTTTTTCTATCATAATGTAGATGTTTAAAAGGAAAAGAATCCAGATTATAATGCAGCTGTAGCACCAAACCATATGGCTGCTAAATGGGAGCAAAAATACACTACTGAATTACTGGGAGTAAACATAAACTGGATGCAATCTTCAGAAGAATATTAAATGGAATATATAAATACCAGAGTATTGCCATAAAATCATGCAATCAGACAATAGTAGCCATCAGGCAATAGATTATTTCACATGCTGAAAGTAATCACAGTTGTATAGCAATTTACGTTTTCTAAATGCCAGACTGAAAATATTAACTAATGAATCTTGGCAAGCACAGTGTTTCCACCAACTGCAGTGGTGGTTATAACAACATCTAGGCCTTTTTTGAGAGAGAGAAAGAGAGAAATAAGGCAGCCATCCTACACCCCAGCTTTATTAGAATCTGTCTGGAGTCCCAGGTGCTTGAAACAGTCTTGTTTGTCTTTAATTCAATTCAAGCCTTTGTCTTCTTTCTTTTAAGAAAATGTCTGTGGGTGATTTATTGGTATATTGGGTGGAATTTGCACTGTGCTGAGCAAGAACAAATGGTCCGGTGGAATACATATTCAGTGTTATGAATAGTGTCTGGCATGAGAGAGAGCTCGAATTAGCGTGGGTGTTGTGTTGCCTGTTCTTTTGCTCAGAGACAGTTTCATGGCAAGTCCATTTGGATTCTACATTGTATAAAAAGGAAAAAGTTAATAACTTGCAGGAGAAAAGCCTGTGTCTCTGTTCAGTCCGGTAGAAACTTACTGGGGGCAATTGTCAACTGTACTTTCCTATTTTGGGTCTCTTCTGTTGTTTTTTATAAAAAGTAGAAGGAGAGGAGGCTTCTTCATCCTATCCACAGACATCTTCAAACTGTGAACAAGAACTAAATGATCCTTGAACTTCAATTGGACTTTGTAAATTAGCATCCCAGGGAATAGACTTTCAGTATTCGTAATTGTATGCTTAGAATTAGAAATGAGTTTATGAAGAGTTTACCTCAAAATTGGTCAGATTTATCAAGATTTCTTATTACTGCATGTTGAACTAGCTCTGCCTCTGGCAACTCAGATCTAAGTGATAGAGTGAAGACTTTCTCTCCTGAAGTTTTATGTATGAGACAAATAGCAACTCTGAATATCTCTTTCTTTCTACAGATGATATGGAAGCAATTCCAGTCAAGCAGTTCGTTAAACACATCAGTGAGCTGTATTCTAATAACCAGCATGGGTTCTCGGAAGACTTTGAGGTACGATTTAATGATCCACCAATAAAATGTTGTTTTCCTAAAGTTAATTGTGTATTAATAGTTAGGGACCATGCGACATCTGTGTGATGCTGCCATGTCAGGTAAATGCAGTGCTCAAATGTATCAGAAGAAATAGGGAAATACCAATTAGCCACCAGGTACGAGCAATGTGCGACTGGACATTTACAGATGCTTTCTCACCACCTTTAAGGTGCCTTTAAGGGGTGACCCTCCTAGGTTTTTATTAAATTGGAAAAGCTGCCTGCAATTCCCCATGAACAACATGAAGATACAAGGAGTTGGTTTTAACCCCAGGCTTTTCTTATAATCTGCAGATTATTTTACTCTTGTTGGCCCAGAATTTGCTCCTCTTAGTCACACCGAGAAGTCACGTACCCCCTGAGTAGCCCAAAGGGAGTAAAATAGTGTTCACTATGAGTAAAAGTAGTAGAATTTGGTCTTTTATGAAAACCCAAGCTATGGGTCAGTTCCTGGAGTCCTTGTTCATGCTCCATTCAGCCAGGAAAGATTGCTGTTAAAGTCGTTGGTTATTTTGTTCCAGTAAAACAAGGAGAAAGGCTTCAGGATTTACTTGGTGGTATTTATCTAATCTGACTATTTTAAAATTTGCATACCTGTTATGCATTTGTTACCTGTTTAGGACAGATTCTGACCTATAAATCTGGTATAAATTGGAGGTAATTCCAATGAAGTGAAGGTAGTTTGCCACCTCTGCGTTACCAAACCCATATTGTGCAACCATGATAAACATCACACAGTATGAGGACGGGCTGCAGAGTCAGGCCTTAAAACGCACAAGTCAGTATTCTCTGGCTAGTTTTTAGGCATTTCTTTCATTCAGTCTAATCACAGTCACTGCTGAACTTTTGGAAATATTGAGAAGCAGGAGGAGCCCCAGGAAATGATACTGCATGTGCTACTGGCTTTCCTACCAGCAAAAGGAGGTGTGTTTGTGCGCTGCATGTGAATCAGAGAGGCAGCTCTGCTTACAAACAAGGCAATGAACCAAAATAGGTGGCCTAATATCTGCGGCTTCTTTGCTTACTGCAGTAAAGACAAGACTGTATGCAGGAATTTTTTTTTTAATGGGATCATTTAAAACATTTATTGTTGCTGTTTGGTTACTGTCTATAAAGAGTGGCTGCTTTGTCTGATGCCCAAAAACCGTTGTGTAAGTTAGAAACATTTTGTATTCATGAGGAAGGCAAATGTGTAAGGTGTTAAAGTGATTTAGTTCAATTGACTGCTGGCTGGATGGCTGAGCAGGAATATTGAGGCATTTAACAATGTTGATGGTATTCAGGACAAACATTTATTCTCCAGAGAGTAGAATTTGATCAGGATGATCAAATGCGACTCACTCTTCTCAATTATTTATGAATTGCGACCCCAGCGCTATTCATCACAGCTGGGTTTTACACCATTTAATTATTCAAAATAATCAGCAACACATCTGTAAACTTGGTCTGGCTTTAAGCAGGCTTTGCTTCAGCTGTCGCAAAATCACTGCTATTAACAAATGTTGGACACCTTCCGCCCATGTTTTAGCAAAGAAAAACACTGCTCTAATAGCCTTATTTTTCCCTTCTTCCTGGAGCTCCCTGCTGCGAGTGCCACACTGTGGCAGCCAGTCGGAGAGATAGCTTTGGCCAATTAGTCCTGTTCTGGGGAGCACAGGGTCCCCTCTGAAGGGAAGTTAAACTCCTCCGACTGCACTGCGTGTGCCAAATTCTATTCTCCGTGCTGGCTTAAAATTTGGAGCGTCTGCTTTGAAGTGAGTATAGCTACTCCAGATGTATTTCTCCATAGCTGACGTCTCAGCTTCCTAAAGAGTAAATGAGGTCTCCTCCTAGAGTAAGGTGAAGGAATAGGAACAAGACAATCACTGTCTGGGATAAACCATCCAGCTCCCTTTCATTGCTTGTGTTCTGCCCTGCTGACGCCTCGTGGGCCTGATTTTCTTCCTTATGGTTCACAGCGATGGGACAGAGGAGTGAAACCCGGGATTTTTCACAGAGCCTGTAGGTAAAATGTTTCTCAGGTGCCTAAACTGACTCTGAGATCAGAATCCCAGTTTGGAAAGTGGCTGAGGAATAGAGGATCCTGAGGTTACATTTATACAGTAGCTATTGGAAGTGGCTAGCGGTGTACATTCTCATGTCTGGTCAGATCCAGCCATGGTGTATGTCCTGGAATTGTATCTGCCAGCTACAGTGAAGACGTAGCTAATGTTTTATGGAGAAACAGTAGGATTCCAGCTGAAACAGAAAACCCAATGTTACAAGGCTGCTAGCCTTGGGTGGAAGGTACCACAGCCGTATCATGCCTTCATGCCTGGGGAACTCCTGAAAAGAGGTATTAGGTTCTGCAGTCATATGAGCTTTTTACAAAAAAATCTGCTTCTTGCATCTAAAAAGAAGAGAGAAGAGGATGGCAAGGAGATGCTGAAAAACTGTGACCAATACTACAGCATAAATAAGTCTTCCCAAAGGTAGCCAGCACATGGGATTTTTTTAAAGGAAAAAAAAAATCAAAAATCTCTTCAGAAATTTCTGTGGCAGGAGATTTATAGTGGAACCTGTGAAAGGAAAGACTAAGCTAGACACACACACGCTCTGCCCGATGTAGAAGGTAAACATTCTCCATTTGTTTGTTGCTAGTTTTTGGTGTAAGTCTCTTCCTGTGTTTTTGGCAGTGTGTTGTGGGTTGTATTGAGTTGGTTTTTACATGAAGATTCCTTTGAAAGCAAACTGTGTGAATAGTCCCTCTTCCTCTTAAAATGAGCTGTAATTACAGGTAAATATTTTGTGAATGTACTTAGGAAGCGTTTTATGTGCAGAGGAAAAAGGACTTTGAACTCACAAATCTTTCCTTGGAAAGTACATCCAAAATGAATCCTTATTGCCTTTGGGTAATCATAGTGCAAGTAGCCAGCTTTATTGTCTGGTGATAGCTGGGCTTTCTTGTATATACAGAATTGTTAAGATTTCCTTTGAGTCCTATGAATTTTCAATTTTTTTATATAAACTAGAAATACAGGGCCCAATGTAATATTGAACGACAAATAACTTTTTAAAATAAAGTCCACGATCCTGCATTGCCAGTTCTGGTCTCTGATATAACTCTGATTTCTACCTTGGAATTTGTTCAACCTAATACTGAAAAAAGTTCAAGGAGGTTTTTTGGCTTGCTCTCGGACAGCTCCAGCACCCTCTTGCTATAGCATACAGGCTGAGGCACCACATTTTAACAGGGCAGCACTGGGGCAGGGTTTGGTGGCAAGACTGAACAGAGACTGAGAGGCTTCCTGAGCCAGAGATTATATCTACTCCTTGTCTAGCCAGAGATTTTCTTGGCATCATTATGTTTAATAGTCTTTGATAGACCTTTCTTCCATAAATTTCTAATTGCCTCTTGAACCCTTCTAGACTTCTGGTGTCCAAAGCATCCCATGGCAATGAATTCTACAATTTGTTCCACAAGAACAGACTTCCTTTTGCTTTTAACTCATGCCTAATAACTTCTCTTGGTGCCTCCTAGTTTTTGCATTACAAAGTACATCCCTGTTCACTTAAATGCCTCACATGATTCTGTCTGCCTCCCTCATATTCCTCCTTAATCATCTGTTTTCAAATCTGAAGAAGTCTAAACTATTTAATTTGTTTGTTTGAGGAAGCCATTCTAGACTTATGATGATTTGTTCCCTCTGTACCTTTTTTTCTGCCTTTACCATATCCTTTTCAAGATGGGATGGCCAAAACTGTGCACAGTATTTAATGAGTGGGTTTACTGCAGAGTTCTGTGGGAGCGCAGTGATGTTTTCTGTTTGGTTTTCTATTACTTTCCTTCTTCCTAACATACTATTTGTTTTTTAACAACTACTGAGCACTCAGCTGACACCTCCAGAAAACTATCAGCTGTGACCCCAAGGTCTTGTCACTGAATGGCAATAGCAAATTGGGAACCTGTCAGTATGTATGTATAGTTAGGGTTGTTTTTCCCAAGTACATCACTTTGCATTTATCAACATTGAATTTCATTTGCCATTTTATCACTCAGCTACTCAGTATTGCGAGATTGTTCTGCTTCCCTTCATAAACAGCTTTTGTTCTAATTATCCTGAATAATTTTGTATCATGAACATACTTTGTCTCCTCTGCAGTCCATTTACGAATAGGTTAGGTCCCTGTAAGGTCCCACTGGTGAAGTCTGAACACTGACAATTCCTGGGCAGGTGAGTCCCACCTCTGACCTGTTGGTATACAAGGCAAGTTTTCCTTTTGCTCCAAGCCAGATCAGGCTTTTAAGTAATGTTTTCTGAGAGGTCTTTTCACAAACATTTTGGAAATCCAAATACTGTTCTTTTCCAGACTGTTCTTACCTGTAGACTTCTTCAGGGACCTCTCCACAGTGTGTTAGAGGCATTCACTAGCTCTGCTATTTATTACAGTGTCTAGCAGTTTGCCCCACAGAGAAGTCAGATTTAGTGGGCTGTAGTGCCTGAAATCCCTTCTGGATCTCATTTTAAAAACTGATGTCACATTTGTCAACTTCTATTCCCCTCATAGCCTGACTATATAGGGCATGTGCCCTCCAAATTCTTGTATCAAAAAGAGTGTGAAGTGCCACCTCCCACAGTAAACCTTTTCACTCCCTCCCCCTGGCCAGTTACTGGAATAACACAGTAAGTTTTTTGAGTAGTGGTGTCCTTTTGCTCTAAGAAAGGAACACTAAGGAAAGAAATCACCCTCCATCCCCAAAGCTAACTATGAATTTTTATAGTACAATGCAGTATTTGGATTTTTGAGATCAGACAGTTTTATTTCCTTCCTCCCTAATTCTGGAGTGGGTTGGTCAGTGCTGCTGCGGGAGCGATTAGAGTGGGTGAGTGCAATCTCCGCAGACCTCTCCTGCCTGTGGCCGTGTGAGTGTAATGATTCATTGCCAATTTGGAGTCTGAACAGGCTCGCTGAACTTGG